TGCATTTTAAATTCAAATATAATTCAAATTTTGATAATATTTAAGTACAAAATTCGAATGTAGTTTTCAGCCATTTTGACCGCCCTACTGCTTACTCTCCCAGTCCACTGGATCCATTCTGCTCATGATTACTTACCTAAGTTGTTTGTTTATATCTCTCTCCTTCAGTAACCCTGTGGACCTGAGCAATCCCGTCATAGTGAGTTCCACCCCAAAGTTTCAGGAGCAGTTGTTGGGGGGAAACAGCGTTCCTCACGAGGTCATTCAGCACCCCTGCCTCAAACAGCTGCCTCAGATCTTCTTCAGAGCGATGAGGGGTGTCAGCTGCCTCGTGGACGCTTTTCTCGGTAAGATCTGACTGTGCACCACATTACAAGGCTCTCTTATGAATTGCATTGGTTTATTGGATGCTACTGTGGTTGTATTACCGTAATATTCCATAAAGTAGCATATAAATACTATGGTAAATGAATGTGGTAATCATTCAGTACCATAGGATGTGCAACAGAGCCTCTACATATACACATTGTTTGTTTGTTTTTTGTTGCACTACATATTAATCTCAGATGTAAATTATATTACTCAGCAAACACTTTCAAATAAACTTTTAACAGAGTCAATCCTGAATCCATTTTTAGAATTATTATCCAAAGTAAACTTTAAAAACCTTTTTAAATGGCTGTTTCTTAGCACTTGAACTTGCTACTTACCATGGAAATGGTCAAGGAAGCTGGCATGATGTTAAAACCGCAATCAACCAATAATCTCAGATGTTGTTTTAGTGTTTGTGATGGGATTTTCCTGATCATTCTGTTTGAATCTCAGTCCTGCGGTGATGTGTGAACATTGTCTTTGACTGTTTTTCCATTTCTAGGTGTTGCTGTTTTTAAGAAACTCGAGTGTCGTGAAACTCTGCCCTCTTCTGGTACTCACACAACTGTGCTGTTCTCTTATCATTATCACTTTTAGCCCTTTTTCCACCGACATGGCGCTGGTGACTGCTCTGCAAGTGCATAATGTTGCTTGTGGTGATTTAGGTTAATTTGATGAACTCCTACTCAACATATTCTATTTTCTAGTTCATCTGAAATGGTTTCATATACAAATATCACATGTGATTGCTATGAATTTTATTTGTTACATAATATGCTACTAGTCAAAAGTTTGGAATAATTAACATAAACAAGAAGCAACACAACTGTTTTCAACATTGATAATAATCAGAAATGTTTCTTGAGCAGCAAATCAGCATATTAGAATGATTTCTGAAGATCATGTGACACAAGACTGGAGTAATGATGCTGAAAATTCAGCTGCGCATCACAGAAATAAATTACAGTTTACAGTAAATTCACATAGAAAACAGTTATTTTAAATGCAATAATATTTCACAATTTTTACTTTTTTGATCAAATAAATGCAGCCTCGGTGAGCAAAAAAAAAGTCTTCTTTCAAAATCTTTAAAGAATCCTCTAATTGTTACATCAAAGCCAGTTTGTGTTCATAAAGTAGCTGCATTAATTTACTTTGGTTGTCAAAACTAGGAGTAAAAGACTTGTGAACAACAATTTCAATGTGATATGTTTGACTCGGCCATTATTGTTGAGCATCAGCACCATTTAGATGGAAAAAGGGTATCAAGTCAGTCTATAAACTACGTTGTGGCTGTTACTTCATTCTGAAAGCAGAGCACAGTCTGGTTTATTGGATTTTTGGTTTAATTATAAGTTCAAGCACATTCAGGCATTTAAAAATCAGAATTTAAACTGAATAGAAAATTTAATTTAATTTAAATGACATAGGGCTGTGCGATATAGCTAAAAAATGTATCTAACCTAATCAAGATCTTCTCCGCATTGAGCTTCTATATTTCTCTAATATTTTGAATGCATAACACAGCAGCGGCGCATCTCGTGGGCAAGACTAGCAAAACATTAAAATGCAACAACGCCACTTACATCATCATCACCGCATCTGACGCGCCACTGATGACGCTCCCTGACCCACTCCTAACATTCAAATGCAAATGTTTATTATAAATTCGACTAATATTCATTTTTTTATTCACAATCTCCTCATCACAGGCAGGTACAGCACTCAATTCAGCATGTGTTCGTGTTTGTGTGTGCTGTCTGCGTCACTCATAGCACGTGCCTATATCGTGCACTATATCGAACATTTTTTATATCGTTATCGAAGAAGGTGTAATATCGATACCGTCGATAAATATCGATACCGTTTTATCGCCCAGGCCTAAAATGACTTAATTTGTTCATACAGACAGTATGTGAGACGCGTCTGTCTGCTGTTGAGTGCAGCAATTAGTTCTTGTTTTTAATTGAATGTTTAGTCAAAATTTGTCCTGAGAATGAATATAGCGAGCAAAATGTCTGACCTTCCACTGTGACCAGACTGTCGCATCTCGTTTTAGTTAGTTGTGATAGTTTTTAATCATAACTGCACATGCTCAGTGGTTTGTTCACAGTAGCCTGACGTGTTGTGTCCATATAAATTTCTAACATTTCTTCAGTGGTCTTCTTTTATGTTTTCTCAGGGGTCACAGTGTCTAGGAGCAATATTCGAGACAGACTTCCCTCTATAGGTACACTAAACCTGTCCAAACCCAATCAGTTAGTAACTAACAGTGGGCTTAACTACCCAACACACTGATTCTGGAGGTGTTTGGGTGCAACTCGCACATCCTGATTAGGGACAGAAATAAAAATAATTTCCTAGTTGAAGTTTCTAAAATTATGTTCATAATGTATGTTGTAATTCTTCCTTTTTGAGGTTACTGTGTAATCCCATTTTTTTCCCCAGGTGTTGCTGTTTCTCGGAACAATTTTCGAGACAGACTCCCATCTTATGGTATTTGATAATGCGCCTCTGACTAATCAAGAGGGAGTTTGATGAGGATTGTAGATTTTGCAAGGTGTTTGGTTCATACACAATCACTTTTAGATCAAAAATTCCTGTGTGTTGTGGAAATCAATTATCCATCATTAATTACCATGTTAAATGCCTTGTTTTTGCTCCCATGCAATTGGTAAATCAGTGCCCAGAATGAATGTGAGCATACTTATTGGTTGGTATCCAGTCTGCCTCTGTTCCAGCTGTCCTTTGTTTAGAAATCAAATCAAACTGGCATTTAAATGGGACTTTGATTTAAAGACAATTTAGTTTCTGTCTGTAGCTTTGAGATAATTTAATTCTAGATTATGCCACAAAACACACATATGCATGTGTAAAATTTTAAAATTAAATTAACAATCTAATTTTAAATAAACATTTTTAATTTAATTTATTTATTTACAATTTATAATTTTTTCTATTATCCTCATGTTTAAGTCTCTTTGGATAAAAGTGTCTCCTAAATGATTAAATGTAAAATGTAAAAATATCTTTCTTTAAAAAAACAAAAATATGGATTTATATATATATATATGTATGTGTGTGTGTGCTGTCAAACGATTAATCGCATCCAAAATAAAAGTTTTGCTTACATGATATGTGTGTGTGTGTGCTGTGTATTTTTATTATGTATATATAAATACACACACATACAGTATATATCTTGAAAGTATTTCCATGTATATATTTATATTCATATAATTGATATTATATATAAATATTTTAAATGTATAAACAACATATTTTTCTTTAATATTTACATGTATGTGTGTGTATTTATATGTACATAATAAATATACACAATACACACACACACACATTATGTAAACAAAAACATTTTGGATGCGATTGATCGCGATTAACCGTTTGACAGCATCTCTCTCTCTCTCTCTCTCTCTCTCTATATATATATATATATATATATACTTTCATTTTTTTATTATAATGTTTTTGTCCAATTAGATTCTCTCTTAAAAGAGAATGTCCTTTCCCCCTGCATTATCAATATCTGTAAATTACAGATCTTCAGTGTGCACTTTATTTCTCAGCCATCTAGGAAGTGGATGTCATTTATTTAATTTGAGTCGTAATCAGTGTGGTTTTGACATAAGCTAAAGGCTATTGGATATTTGAAAACAGGCGACCAGGCCTTTGACGTCCTGCTCCAACTTCATGTTTCTTTAATATGGGGTCTTTAATATCCCGTCTGTGAGAGAGTACAGGAGACCAGTATCGGGCCCGATACCGATACCAGTATCGGTATCGGTGCATCCCTAGTTAAATGTCTGTGGAGCTTTCTGGAACATAGGATGTTAAGAGGGAGATCAGTTTCCTTTGCCAGCCAATCAGTATGTCCACAGAGGTTTTAGGCAAGTAACCAAATTTGAATGCAGGGGTTTCCAGCATTTACTGCCAATCAGCAGCTGAGCTGGGATGCTGTATGGTCTTTGTCTCTAGTGGTTGCATTTCATTGCATCTCTGAAAAGTTTTGAAATGCTGTGAATGGGTTTCCCTCGCGTTATAAGCTAAACTCAGTCATGAACTCAAAACGAGTCTTAATATTAAACAGTTGTTGGTTTATTGTACTGATGTCTTGTACTTTATCATTCAACTGTGCAGTGTCCTTGAGTGTTTTGAAAGGCACCTTTTAAAAAAATCCATTATTATTATTATTAACCAATTAATTAATTGAAAGCTTAACACACAATACTTTATAGTTATGGAAGAAAAGGATTAGAATTAGGATGCAACATTGTTTCTAACCTTGTCTGCCTTTTCATTAAGTATCGTTTGCAAAGGAAAAATCTAATTATATAACATTATTGTCCATTCTAGTTCATTTTTTTCTCAGTCTGTAACTTCAAGAAGAAATGAGTGAAATGAAGGCCCATAATGCGAGGGACATCTGTGTTTGCATTCAAGATTATTGTGTGGATTAAAGGAATAATTCGCCCGATAACGAAATAATTTACTCACCATCTTGACGATTCAAACCCATGTGACTTTCCTTTTTCAGTGGAGCACAAAAGGAGATGTTTAGCAGAATGTTTACGCTGCTCTTTTACATACTATAAAAGCAGACAGTGATCAGGACTAAAAGCTATGAAGAAGTAGGTCCATGTATCTGTGCGCTATATTTAAGTTGTTATTTGTTGGCCGTTTTTCCTTCTTAGCTTGTGAGAACCAATGGCATTTGACATTTGTGAAGTGAAAACTTGATGTTGTTCCACAGAAAGAAAGTCATACAGGTTTTGAACAACATGAGGGAGTGAATTTTTTGGGTGAATAATCCCTTTAAAGTTGGTGAATCTTGCACTACTGACCCAATCAGTACTCGCCATGAAGCATCATGGATATACATGTTCATTTTACAAAGTGTTTTATGCAACGAAGGGTTCAGAATATCTATTATACAGCCTGTGTCAAGATTTGCATTTTTGTTTAGTGATTGTGTTTCACAGAGCTGAATAGTTTGGCCTTGCTGATGATGCTGAAATGGCAAAATCCAAGAAGCATCTGTTTGTTTGGTTGTCGCAACATCTGAAAAGCCTCATTCATTTTGCATTTTCTCATATTTTAGGGCTGAAATGGATCTGCTGAGATATTGTCCTGCAATAAATAAAAGTTAGGCATGTTGGCAGGTGCTTTATGGCTGAATATGAGTCCAGTTGTGATCTCTGATGTGTCATTGGTTTTAATTCTTTGGTTTTCTTGCTTCTCCACCTGTTTGATTTGTCTCTCAGGTATTTCCCGCCCCAGGTCAGACAGTGCTCCGCCCACACCTGTCAATCGGCTCAGTATGCCGACGCCCCCAACGACAACCAACACTACACCCCCTCACAACCGCAGGCACCGCCCCACCGCTGTTGTCAAGACAACCAGCAAAACCTCAACGGTACGACCATAAAAAACAGAAGCTCTTTGCCCTGCCTTTTTCTTTTTAGGGATTCGAGCGCAGAGCGCTGAAACCCTATTGTAACTGTTAGAATGGCCAAGGATCAGCGATCTCCACCTAAAACTGATCGGGCAGAGCAAACCGTAAGTCGTAGAGTCTTGAAACTTGGAGGGATTGTAGTACTCACACCGTCTACAACGTCACCAAGGCTCGCCCCAATCGGCCTGATGGGTGCTACAGCGATCAAAAGTATGAAATTGCTCATAACTCCTAAATAGTCGTGGAGCTTGGCCACTTGGAGGCGTTATAAGAGGGGGAAAAAAACATAAAAATGGCTATAACTACGCAACCGTTTGTCCGATCGACATGAAAATTGGTATGCAGTGTCTTTGTCCAAAGTGCCACAAGTGTTTATAAGGACATTTGTGTCTCTCAAAAAACATGGCTACCATTGGCCATTGAATTTTGAGCACCTATTAGACAAGGTCAACAGAGGTTGATCGGAACGAAACTTGGTGGGCATGTTTGACTCATGGCCCTAAAGGTCTGAGAGAAATTTGAAAGAAATCGGCCTCTGGGATGCAAAATCGCATTTTACAAGGGCGTATATGATTGTATATTGTGTTATTGTAGATTGTAGATTGTATACACACTATTCATATAATATGATAGATCTCCTCATTCCAAACAACTTTGCCTCTAGAAACACTGCTGTCAATCAAATCATTTGTTAAATTATTGAGAAGTTGTAAAATACCTACTTTTGCCAACTATTCCTTGGTTTTTTGCTCAATCTTAAAAAAAAACACTGCAGTACAATTAAGGCCAATAATTATAAAAAAAAATTGAACTTTACCCTTTGGGTAGCTATAACAGGGTAGTTTAGAAAAGCCTATAAATCCTAAGCACATGTGACAGATGATTCTAAACAAGCATGCAAATTTTCACAGCAATCAGACCATAGGTGGAGCTATAACAGTTAAAATGGCTTCAAAAACACTATATTTCTATGGTAAATGACCTCAAATTGAAAAAATGTTCATATATTCAAGATCTTCATATTGTACGACCAATCTCCTCATTCTGAACAACTTTGCCTGTAGGACCACTGCTGTTGATCAGATTGCTCTTTAAATATTTGACATTATTTATTTGCGAACTCCTCCAGTCCAAGCATAGGTGGTGCTATAACAGTCAATAAATGTTAAAAATCATCATATTTCTATGGTAAAATACGTGGATTTGCCAAAAATGCTTTTTTCAATCATTGATTTAGGTGGTTACAGGCTTGCTAAATAATACGTAATGTATTTTTTCATATGTGCTTAAATGCCTTAAAGCGCTTGAACCCCGATAATCACTGCTTGCAGCTGTATTTTTGTTTATTATCCTGTTTCACTCAGAAATGCTTCACATTAATTCACATTAGAGCTGCACGATTAATCGAATGCGATTGTCATGCGTATCTTGTCAGTAAAGCCGGTTCTGTGATTAGTAGTAAATCTCCAGCACTTGCTTTCAGGTGGAGCAGCGTTTACTACACTGACAAGCTACGCAAAATCGCGTTCATAATCGCAGACGATTTAATCGTTTTAATCGATTTAAATTGTTTTGGATTATGAAAGCTGTTTGCGTAGGTTGTCAGTGAACTACGGCTCCGTGTAGTAAATGTTGCTCCATCTGAAAGCACGTGAAAATACCACATTTAATAACCTTTTTACTCCAAATTCACTTCATAACATCAGTCGAGTATTTGAAATAAATCCTTCTGTGAGATGATGTGGCTTCTTACACAGAATAAGGCACGCAACATATTTCATAGTATTCTAAGCAGTGATAAAGGCTGTGGATTAGCATTGCATTATTATATACTTTATTATAATAAAAATTATAATAAGACGAACTCAGATAAACCATATATTGTCGTAGTCATGTGTTTATTAGTCACGTTGAATTAATGAAAGCAGTTAAATGTTCTGTTTATTCAGCAACCGCTATAGGGATTTCCTGGGTTTCTTCTGCGGGGTGTATTTGGAGTTCCAGCGCGAGAGCACCCTCTAGCCTTCGGATGGAGATTTACTACTGATCACAGAAACGTGCTTCACTGAAAGATACGCATGACAATCGCAGCTTCTGTTTAATCGCGATTTATCGCCTTTGCGATTTAATTTCATTTAATCGTGCAGCCTTAATTCACATTATTCATTGTTGACTTCTAAAAACCTGTGTAATTTACTCTCCACTCCACAGACTGGTCAGACCAAAGTGTCGCACCAGACATCATCCACATCCCCGCTCTCCAGCCCAAACCAGACGAGCTCCGAGCCGCGGCCGCTTCCGGCCCCAACCCGGCCGAAGGTCAACAGCGTGCTCAATCTGTTTGGCCAGTGGCTGTTTGACGCTGCGCTGGTCCACTGTAAACTCCACTCCAGCCTGAGCAGAGACAGCAGCATGACAGGTAAGACCGTGATGAGTGTTATAATCAATACTACGGTCACCCTGTTTTCATTTGTTTTTAATTTCTCTACTTATTTTACCTGTTGAGGCTGTTTTTATTTCCTTTTCTTTTATAAAATATTCCTACCTGCAAGATTGTACCACATTCAGGGTTTGTCTCCAGTGTTGTTACACTAGTGTAGATGCTGTGAAAAAGTACATCTGAATTTTGAGATCTTGCAAATCTAGAGAGGTTTAATGTTATGTATTTGAATATTTGTACATGAACATCCTGACCTGATTTGCCACACATAGAGAGACCCTAAATTGCATTTATAATTCAGTTTAATAACAGCAAATTGTATTCCTGTAGCTCAAACAGTGGAGCATGGCACAAACAACACCAAGGTCATGGGTTCAATTCCCAGTTAAAATGAATACATCAGTGCAATGTAAGTCGCTTTGGATTTAAAGTGTCTCCCAAATGAGATGAGAATTGCTTAAGTTCAGTGAACACAATATTTTATACAATATTAAGTAAAAATTCACTTTTTGAAAATTGAAAAACACGCACTGTCCATTGATACATTTTTTAGACTGGTGCAAGCACTTGTATTAAAGGAAAAGTTCACCCAAAAAATGAAAATTCGCTGAAAATGTGCTTACCTTCAGGTCATCCAAGATGTAGATGAGTTTGTTTCTGCATCAGATTTGGAGAAATGTAGCATTGCATCAGTGTCTCAGCAATGGATGCTCTGCAGTGAATGGGTGCCATCAGAATGAGAGTCCAAACAGCTGATAAAAACATCACAATAATCCACAAGTAATCCACAGCACTCCAGTCCATCAGTTAACATCTCGAGAAAGTCTTTTTAACTTCAAACCGTTGCTTTCAGCTAAAGTCCGTGCAAAAGTGGTCTGGTCTGAATCAGGAGAGAAATCTGCACAGATCAAGCACAGTTTACAAGCCAAAACAGCTCTAAATGAATATGTGTGTGGATTTCAATGTGAGAGACAACAGGAGATGCACTTTATTATATTGATATTATAGATTATGTGCTAATGTTTTAGCCAGAAGCAATGGGTTGAAGTTAAAAACGTGTAAATTATGGATTTGTTTCTTACAAACATGCAGCTTTTGGCTTCACAAGATGTTAACTAATGGACTGGAGTGGTGTGGATTACTTGTGGATTATTGTGATGTTTTTATCAGCTGTTTGGACTCTCATTCTGACGGCACCCATTCACTGCAGAGCATCCGTCGGTGAGAAAGTGATGGAATGTTTTCAGCACATTTTCATTTTTTTGGTGAACTGTTCCTTTAACAGTACATGATCGTTATCAGACAAATATCAGTCAGTTAATTGAAATTGGTCAATCAAATTTGTTTTTAAACTTGTATGTTAAGTGAAAGTAGATTTATGATATGTTAACATTCAGCTCTCTAACATGGTTAGGTTAGTTTCTACTCAGGCACCTGGACAGTGTTTATGTATCACACTGTTGAGAATGTGTGTCATTAATCTAGTGTTCTTTTTTATGCAGTGAATGGATTGAAATCATTCTGTGGAGTTGTTAATAGCATTGCGCACATCTTTTCTTCACTTGCATTGTTTTTGTTCAGTTTTCATTTTTGCATGATGGGTAACCGAAACTCTTTTTAATGGTCTCCCTGTGTCTTTAAAAGCACGAAAGCAGAACGAAACGTCTGAATAGTTTACTGAACTCTACTACTGCTGTTCTTTGATTTGTTTCCATTTTATCTCTGTTATCTTGCAGCAACATTTTTCCAAATTCTTCTTTCTTATAAATCTTGTAAGTAGGAACACGAGCTTTACCAGTTGCAGTTATTTGGTTCATTTCAGTTTGTTTACTTCCATCTTTTTGGTTTTCTTTCGTTGACACTGTCACTCGTCCATTGTTGCAATACTTGTTTTCTTGGGGCAAGAGACTTGCGCATAAACTGCTTGAGTTAAAGGTCCGGGGAGTGTTTTGACTGCTGCCCAAATCTCATTGGCTCAGCTGCAACAAATATTCAGGATTCTGAAGTGGGCCGAGAATGTTTGTTGCGCTTGATCCTTCTCCTTGATTCAACTTACCCACCATCATTAAAACCAGTTCCTACCATACCATCTCCTGAAGGACCTCTACTAACTGATCTTCTCCAAAGAAACACACCAACCAATCCTATTTTGAGTTTTTGCCCAGCGTTTATTTGACAGCTTTTGTTTTACGTCAGCGTTTTTATTAATTTCCTCAGTTTTCATTGGTTCTTTTTATGTTTTTGTATGGATATTTCTGCATGTCGTGGTTGTTGTTGCAGTTCGTTTTAGCCGTATTGTGCCTTATTGTCTTAATTTAGCTGGACTATAGAAATTGGCCTTTAATCAACGTTTGTCTGACATGAAATCCAACAGACATGCTCTGATAACAGGGAGACTGACCAGGAGATGTCGAACAGTGTGTTCTATTCTCGCATACAAACACGATTGAACTTTATGGCACTGCAATGCAATTTTGCGTGATCTGAACAAGATCGTTCCCTCCAAATAGATGCAAGCGTGCTGCTGAAGCAAAAGACCCATTAGATTAGCTCTCGCTTCCTACCGCAAATGAAATTATGCAGATATCCTGTCAAACACATGTAATAAACTCTTGTGGAAGGATAAATCTTCTGTAACGTGAATATTTATAGGTACAAATGATGGATAGTATGTAATAACGGTTAAACGTAGTGACGTTTTCACTTTCATAGGTTTCACTTAGTATTTAAATTAGAGGTTTGAAATAATTACGTTTTTAAAAATATTTTTAAGCAGCACATCAGCATATTAGAATGATTTCTGAAGATCATGTGACACTGAAGACTGGAGTAATGATGCTGAAAATTCAGCTTTGATCACAGAAATAAATTACAGTTGAACAGATATTCACATAGAAAACAGCTATTTTAAACCGTAATAATATTTCATAATTTTTATTGTATTTTTAATCAAATAAATGCAATATTTATGCAATATACAAAAACTTAAGTATTCCAAACTTTTGGCCAGTATTGTAAATATTTGGGAAAATGAACGTAATTATTAAAATGTCCAGCATTTTTATTTCTCTCAATGTCATATGCATTTAAAGTTGAGTCGTTTCGATGCATCTACATATTTTGCCTGTGTAATAAAACTTAATGCAATTTATCCACTAATTATTGTTATTGACCTAAAGATCAAGCTAAAACTATTTAACAGCATGCTTTTGATGGCGTTACATGTTTTTACCTATGTGAAGTGGTATTTTGATGTAATATTTTATTAAAGCTAATTAACTTTATTATTTTGTATTGTATTAGAAAAATATTATTAAGAATGATTATTGTTATTATTATAATTACACTATTTTATAAAATAATCAACTATAATATTTTGTCGTATGTTAAAAAAAATCAATCAAAGAATCGATTCAAATATATTTATGTAGCAAATGTTTTAAAAAGCAGTTTTAAAGAAAATCATGATGTTAATGTTTGTAACATCTCATTATCTTCATGCCTTACAGTCGCATTTAGCAGATTAGAGCAAATGTGACCCTGGACCACAAAACCAGTCATAAGGGTCAATTTTTCGAAATTGAGATTTATACATCATCTGAAAGCTGAATAAATAATCTTTCCATTGATGTATGGTTTGTTAGGATAGGACAATATTTGGCTGAGATACAACTATTTGAAAATCTGGAATCTGAGGGTGCAAAAAAAAATCTAAATATTGAGAAAATCATCTTTAAAGTTGTCCAAATTAAGTTCTTAGCAATGCATATTACTAATCAAAAATTAAGTTTTGATATATTTAAGGTAGGAAATTTACAAAATATCTTCATGGAACATGATTTTAACTTAATGTCCTAATGATTTTTGGCATAAAAGAAAAATCGATAATTTTGACCCATACAATGTATTGTTGGCTATTGCTACAAATATACCCCAGTGACTTAAGACTGCTTTTGTGCTCCAGGGTCACAAATGATTGGGCGTTTTTTACTGCTCTGCCTGTCTGAAGATCTCTTTGTCGGTAATCCCTGTCATGGCCTCCTGCGAAAGCTTCGCATGTAAAGCGTCACTGAGTGTTTGCGCTTGTGTCTCTCCTTCCCGTCTCTGTCTCTCTCTCAGCCCTAGCGACTCAAGCTGGAGTTGAACTGAGACGTAAAGGCTCTCAGATGTCCACGGACACCATGGTGTCCAACCCAATGTTCGACGCCAATGACTTTCCTGATAATTACGAGTCGGGGCGAGCCGAAGCGTGTGGGACGCTGTGCAGGATCTTCTGCAGTAAGAAGACGGGAGAGGACATTCTTCCAGTGTACCTGTCCAGGTAATCACTAGCTGTTCCCAACGAATCACCTCCTCAGTCATTAAACTACTAGTCAAAAGGTTTTTGAAAGAAGTCTCTTTTGCTCACCAAGGCTAGATTTATTTGAAAGAGATTAACTAAAAGAAGGAGCAAGGACACAATAAATTGATCAAAAGTGACATTTATAATGTTATAAAATATTTCAGTAACACTTTACCTAACGCCTTTATATATAATGCATTATAAAAGTAGTTTTAATGCATTAAATATGGCTTGTAATGCACCTTATAAAGCATTGCATGATCTCATGAAAAACTATAACCACTGTTCTAATATATTATAATAACTAGATATTCATTGTTACACCTTTAGAAAGTGTAATTCATTAAAGCACATGAAAAACAAACCTTCAAATATTATTATGCATTTTAACTTATAGTTATTTATGAAAAGATATAATGTAGGACTGCACAATTAATCGAATTTTTAATTGCAATTACAATTATGGATGCCACAATTACATAATCGTTCTTTCTACATGTTACGGTTTTTTTTATTGTTTTAGTTTTAGTATAACATTATAATACCATTCATATTTGTACTTTTTATATCATTTAAAGAAGAAACCAATCAGATGTATATTTGACATTTGAGGCTTAATGCTATAGAAAAGCACTAAAATTCATATAAAAATACTGCATGCAGTTGCATCAAACAATGGTATAAACATCATTCAATGTAAATTGTGATCATCGTAATTAATAATCGCAATTACAATTTCAAGGGAATAATCGACTATTATGATTTTTGTCATAATCGTGCAGCCCTAATATAATGCATTATACATAAAGAATTGAAGTGTTATCAGTATAAAAATGCTGTTCTTTTGAACATTCTACTCATCAAAACATCCTGAAATATGTTTCCACAAAAATATGAAGCAGCACAAATGTTCAACATTGATGGTAGTAAGAACCATTATTAATAATTGAGCACCAGTAATAATTGCTAATAACTGAGCAGCAGATCAGCATATTAGAATGATTTCTGAAGGATCATGTGACACTGAAGACTGGAGTAACGATGCTGAAAATTCAGCTTTGATCACAGAAATAAATGACATTTTACAATATATTCACATAGAAAACACTTATTTTAAATGATAATAATATTTCACAATTTTTACTGTATTTTTGACTAAATAAATGCAACCTCTGCAAGCATAAGTAATTATTCCAAACTTTTGACCGCTAATGTAACCAAACAAATTAACCTGTGTTCTGTATCTGATGGTTCTGTTAGGTTCTACATGGTCCTCATCCAGGGTCTTCAGATATCGGACTTCATTTGCAGGCCGGTTTTAGCCAGCATCATCCTCAACTCTTCGGCTCTGTTCTGCTCCGATCTCAAAGGGATCAATGTTGTGGTTCCTTACTTCATATCTGCGCTGGAGACCATCCTACCGGATCGGTGAGCAATGCTTTCTGATTTCTGAGAAATCGGATCCAAAATATGTCTACACGCTCAATTTTTAATGCATGTTTATTCTGCGCCAACAGAGAGTTGTCTAAGTTTAAGTCGTACGTGAACCCCACTGAGCTGAGAAGAGCTTCCATCCATATCCTGCTGTCCATGCTTCCTCTTCCTCACCACTTTGGCAACGTCAAATCAGAGGTGAAAAGCTTCAGATCTGGCATTAGCATCTGTGACCCTGGAGCACAAAACTAGTCTTAAATAGCTGGGGTATATTTGTAGCAATAGCCAACAATACATTGTATGGGTCAAAATTATAGATTTTCCTTTTATGCCAAAAATCATTAGGACATTAAGTAAAGATTATGTTCCATGAAGATATTTTGTAAATTTCCTACCGTAAATATATCAAAACTTTGATTAGTAATATGCATTGCCAAGAACTTCATTTGGACAACTTTAAAGGCGATTTTCTCAATATTTAGATTTTTTTGCACCCTCAGATTCCAGATTTTCAAATAGTTGTATCTCAGCCAAATATTGTCCTATCCTAACAAACCATACATCAATGGAAAGCTTATTTATTCAGCTTTGAGATTATGTCAGATTATCTCAATTTCGAATTGACCCTTATGACTGGTTTTGTGGTCCAGGGTCACATTTAGTAATTTACTCCGAGATAAAAATACTAATTTAATAGGCTGTGGTTTTCTGATTGCATTTGCAGATTCTGTTGGAGGGGAAATTCAGCAATGATGACAACTCTCTTCATGACAAGGCGGTCACCTTCCTCTCCCTGAAGCTGCGATTGGTCAATATTTTGATTGGCTCCCTGCAAACAGAGACAGACTCGATCAATACACAGATGATACTAGGTACGGCTGCCTGATCAATATGTCCATTTACTGAAATGGACATATTACTGAAATATTGTAAAACCTAGTTCAGGCTCTAAAACCTGATTGGATGAGCCTTGTTCAAAACCTTGATACCTGAAATACACAAACTTGTGACTGAACTCGTATAAAAATGTCCACCAGCCATTAGTTAAGCTAATTAACAGTTTTAATATTTTGTATTATATTCAATTATTATTGTTGTTGTTGTTTATTAATAAATTATTTTATAAAAGTTAATTATTTATACTAATATTTCATATTATTATATTAATATAATATTACTATATTATAATAGTAATAATAATCATATTATTATTGTTGTTACATTATTTTATAAAAACTAATTAACTATATTAATATTTTATATTATTAGATTAGAAACGTAAACATAATAATATAACATTTTTATAAAAATAATTAACTATATTAATATGTAATTATATTAACATAATAATAGTGATGATAATAATGATTATTCTTACATTATTTTATAAAAGTTAATTATACCAATATTTTATATTATTGTTTTAGAATACAAAATAGTAATAATAATCAGTTTTTGTTTTGTTGTTGTGACAATATTTTATAAAAGCTAATAAAAAATCTTGTGTGATATAACTTGTGTTTGTTTGTTTGCTGGTTTTTATTGTATTTGTTATATTTGTATTTTTTAAACTGTTTTTGCCATGAAAATAGCCTTTGATGCTGACATGGCATTAAATAAATATATACTACTACTTATAAAAGCTAATTAATCATAGTAACCATATTATGTAAAATTTAAATAATGGTTTTATTGTTATTTTTATTACATTATTTTAATAGAAGCAATAAGCCATAAAAACAGTATGTAGTGATTTTAAAATCACTCTTTTGTGAGTTGTTGATTTTTGCACATTTAATAGTGATAAGTGTCAATAATAATTGCGTGTATGTCTGTTTTTACAGCGGCGATGCTGAATATCGTCCAGGATTCGGCTCTGTTGGAGTCTGTTGGTGCTCAAGCTGAAGTGGTACGATTTTCTATTTATGTATGAACACAATGAGTTCAGAGAGAGCTTGAAGTAGATTTGAAGTGTCAGCAAGGTGATATGCAGATGAAGAGTAATCACAGTTCACCAGTTAAAAATGCCATTGTGTCTGTGCTGTGTGTAGGGCAGCGTGGACGGAAGCCATTCTCAGGCTAAGAGCCACAGTCGTAATAACAGCGGCATCAGCAACGCTAGCGCAGGCAGCTCCGAGGCTACGACTCCAGACAGCGAACGCCCCGCGCAGGCCCTGATGAGGGACTACGGTAAGCCCAGAGGGACACTGTGCACAACCGACCGATGCATTAGAGCCGTTTGAACCTCTAACTTTGAGGAATTGCTTTTGTGAGCCGCTTTGCATAAAAGTGTGTGCTAAATGCATAAATGTAAAAGCTTAATAAGATTTCACCCATTTAATTATTCCAGCAATGCCAAGATTAATCAACAGAGTGACTCATAGTGATTCTATAAATTATCCTGTTTTTATATTTTGCGTTCACATTTACCATATCAACTTCTTTTTGTGGGGCACAAGACATTTTGGAGAACATTCACGCTGCTCTTTCCGTTCAGTGAAAGCATTAGGGCTGTCAAAATGGCTGAAAAACTAAATTCGAATTTTGTACTTAAATGTTATCAATATTCGAATTATACTAGAATTTAAAATGCATAATTTCAGCTAGGGGGAAAAAAAGCTTTTGGCTTCTCTCCTGAGGCCACAAGAGGGCGCATCGAGCAAAATATTACTAATGCACGTTTATTCAAAGCAATAAAATAACACGACTATCTTTGAAAAAAGTGCATAATGTTTAAAATAATGTTTATAAACCATATATAATTAATAAAGGAGCTTAAACAATTAGAAACAAAACAGCATTATGTATGTATGCATAGTTAATATAATACAAAGGACCGAAAACCAATCACAAAGAGTACTTTATTCATTTAAAAACATTAGTTGCAGTGGGATGGGGAAAAACCGGCATAAAGTCTTGAGACATGTTTTTTACAAAGTTGAACTTACATTCATTTTACATGGCTTTCTAAACATATGGCTCTCTTGTGCGAGACGCGAGTGCAACGGTGATAGATGTCCCTCTAGAAAATGCGATAAATATGTGTTCTGTGTGAACGGCTTGGTTTCAGTTTGACGTAAACAACATCTCCGCATTGATGTTCTCTTTTTCCGCAATATTTTGAATGAACAACGTAGCAGCGCCGCATCTAGTGGCTTCAACTGGATAAGCTAAGAAAAACATTACAATGCAATGACATTTACATTATCGCATTTCGTGCTCCACTGATTAAGTTGCCTGACGCACACCTAAAATTAGAATGTGGATTTTTATTTTAAATTCAACGGATATTCGAAATTCGATTTTTTTTTTTTGACAGCCCTAGAAAGCATACAATATCATAAAAGCACCTTAAATGTATCATAAACTAGCCAATATGTAAACAATCCCACTTTTTTTTGTCTAGACCTCTGGGCCACTTTAGTCGGAACTGACTGAAAAAATTAACATTTTGAATTTTTAAATTAGAATTTTTTTGCATTTTTTTTTTTTTTGCTTAATCTGTGACTTTTGTCGCATTAGATATGTGAACACAAAAATATCATAGACATGGTTCGGATATGTTAAAGAGTCAAAAAATAAAAAAGTAACACTTAGTACCTTTGAAGAAACTTTGTAAGTGGAAAAAAATAGCTCATAAAAATTTTTGCATAGTATCATAAAATCTCCAAAAAATTCTAATATATAATAAAAAAGTATTATTGAACAAAAATACATGATATTGATTTTTAAAAAAAAGCTTGTATTTTAAGGTTTTGGTCTCTTTTGACTGTGAAGGTACCAAGTGTCACCCTTTTCTTTTTAAAGCATTTATAAAGTGCATCCGAGGAATGTGGTGTCATGCATGTTTGTAGAAGTAGCATGGTGTTTGTCAAACATGTTGCTGGTGCATTTTAATGTCAATTTTATTTATATAGCACCATTAAACACAAAACAATACAATAGCATGACTAAAATGCAGTGCAATGATGCTTCACCACTGGCACATTTTAAAATGCCTGTCTGCAAGTGAATGTGAATGGATATTTCTTTAAAGTGCGGCTCACATGGAATGTCTTTAACCAGTTTGGGTTCTGTATAATGAATGCTTCTGTTTATTTTCAAAGCATGACGTCATAACGCGGCTCTGTTATTATGATTTCGCTGGACTAGATCTTCAGTGTCTGTGACTAGCGAGCGATAACATGTTCTTGTGCTCGTCTGTGTTCATGTGTATGGTTTACGGCTGCATCTCTGTGCCTGGCTTGCGTCTGGTGTGTGTGTGTGTGTGTGTGTTACTAACCCGCTGTCTGTGGCGTGCTGTGTGTTATATCCCAGCTCTCCACACAGACACGGCGGCTGGGCTGCTGATCCGCAGCATCCACCTGCTCACCCAGAGACTCAACTCTCAGTGGAGACTCGACATGAGCATCTCACTGGCTGCCCTTGAGCTGCTGGCTGGCCTCGCCAAGGTACGCTGACACAATCAGCTTTATATTTATATTTATAAAACGGATAGTTCCGGTCCTTGATTCTGATTGGTTGAGCCAAGTTCAAAGCTGTTGTAAATTACTCTACAAAGTAACATACACCTTTGTTTACGTTTGTGTGTTGCTCGGCAACCACTTTGTTGGAACCACAGCCATTTCTGAGGAGCTACATTGTTTGGTGGAAGAATAATGTTTTTATTAATATCATTACATTTTATTTGCTGTTTTATTTTGTGAAACCTTACTATGTATATGGAATAACCATTTTATAAAAGCAGTAAGCCCCGTGAAGCCGTGGTTTACAGTGAATTTATAACAGCTAAAAGGGTTTTAGTCACTCGTACCTAACAACGCCCCTTAGCTGTTATAAATTCACTGTAAACCACAGCTTCTTGGGGCTTATTGCTTTATTATTGCTGTGATTTCAAAGCTGAATTTTCAGCATCATTACTCCAGTCTTCAGTGTCACATGATCTTCAGAAATCATTCTAATATTCTGATTTGCTGCTCAAGATACATTTCTGATTATTAACAATGTTGAAAACCATTCTGCTGCTTCATATTTTTTGGAAATTGTGATACACTGCCGTTCAAAAGTTTGGGGTCAGTAAGACTTAAAAGAACAAATAAGAAAATAAATCAATACTTTTATTTAGCACGAATGCATTAAATTGCTCAAAGGTGACAGTAAAGACAGTTATAATGTTACAAAATATTTCTATTTCTTATTTCTAAATGCTGTTCTTTTCAACTTTCTATTCATCAAAGAATCCTGAAAAATAAAATGCATCACGGTTTCCACAAAAATATTAGAATAATGTTTTCATGTTTTCAATGTGTTCAATGTTTCTTGAGCATCAATCAGCATATTAGAATGATTTCTGAAGATCATGTGACACTGAAGACTGGAGTACTGATGCTGAAAATACAGCTTTGATCACAGAAATAAATTACAGTTTAACAGATATTCACATAGAAAACAGCTATTTTAAATTGTAATACTATTTCACAATTTTACTGCATTTGTTGATCAAATAAATGCAGCCTTGGTGAGCATAGACTTCTTTCGAAAACATCGAAAAATCATAGTTATTCCACTTTTGGACCACTTTTCCATCTTTTTGTAGTTCTGAGTAAAATGCATGTTTGTTTGTTTGTCGTCCAGGTGAAGGTGAGCGTGGAGTCGTCGGATCGTAAGCGTGCCGTCAGCTCTGTGTGCAGTTATATCGTGTATCAGTGCAGTCGTCCGGCTCCGCTTCACTCCAGAGATCTGCACTCCATGATCGTCGCTGCTTTCCACTGCCTGTGCGTCTGGCTCACAGAGCACCCCGATATGCTCAATGAGAAGGTACGTCCCGTCTGACCTCAGCTTCAGCTGTTTCAGAGGCTGTAAATGCTGAAACTTGAGCACCAGCGATTGGTACTGAAGCCAAAAACAAAGCTTGCGATTGTAATCAAACTTCCACATCAGCAGCCGCTTTACAATATTTAACTTCCCGTTTATGTCTCCTGCCAAATGTCATTTAGTTCAATGATAAATACAATTGCCTAAGGCTGCTTAAACGTGCAAGATGCACTAATGAATTCAAGAAATATTGTGATGATTTCATACCACTTTTGATTTGTCTATTAAATAGAGCAGCAGTGAGATTCACATGCTCTTCTTGTTTAGCTTTATTTTCACGCCTCTAAGAAGTATCTTCTTCTCAGCAGTACAGTAGAAATACAAAATACAGTAAAAATTGTGAAATATTATAACAATTTCAAATAGCTGTTTTCTATGAATCTATGTTAAAATGTAATTTATTGCTGTGAATTTTCAGCATCATTACTGCAGTCTTCAGTGTCATATTATCTTCAGAAATCATTCTAATATTCTGCTGCTCAAGAAACATTTCTGATTATTATCAATGCTGAAAACAGTTGCGCTGCCCAATATTTTTGTGGAAACTGCAATACATTTTATTTTTCAAGATTCACAGATGAATAGATAGATGAAAAGAACAGCATTTATTTGAAATAGAAATATTTTGTAATGTTATGAATGTCTTTACTGTTACTTTTGAGCAATTTAATGCATCCTTAATGAATAAAAGTTTTTTTTTTTTTCTTAAAAAAATAAATCTTACTGACCCCACACTTATTAACAGTAGCATACTTTATATATATATATTGGTGCATATATTAAAAATAATAACAATTTGTGGAAAACACGTCTTGAATTTTAATCAGATTTTCACTGTTTTTTAACAGTATAATATGTGACCCTGGAGCACAAAAGTAGTCTTAATTCACTGGGGTATATTTGTAGCAATAGCCAACAATACATTGTATGGGTCAAAATTATAGATTTTCCTTTTATGCCAAAAATCATTGGGATATTAAGTAAAGACCAAGTTCCATGAAGATATTTTGTAAATTTCCTACCGTAAATATATCAAAACTTAATTTTTGATTAGTAATATGCATTGCTAAGAACTTCATTTGGACAACTTTAAAGATGATTTTCTCAATATTTAGATTTTTTTGCACCCTCAGATTCCAGATTTTCAAATAGTTGAATCTCAGCCAAATATTGTCCTATCCTAACAAAAAATTTAACCTTATGACTGGTTTTGTGGTCCAGGGTCACATATGTTTAAATGCATAAATATCAGGATGTTTATCAAATTTGAATTAAAAGTCTGAAAAAATAGAGATTTGTTGTTGTTGTTTTGGCCACTCATCTGTTTTTTAGTCTTTAAGATTTAATCTGTTTAATTTAATGATCACAGTCTTGTATCATATACGTTTGTATCGTGCCTTTAAGGATTGTCTGATCGAGGTGTTGGAAATTGTCGAGCTCGGCATCTCGGGCAGTAAGTCCAAAACCGGCGAACAGGAAGTGAAGTACAAAGGTGACAAAGAGCACAACCCGGCGTCGATGAGGGTCAAAGAAGCTGCTGAGGCCACGTTATCCTGGTGAGCGTCTCTCATAAACCACCACTGATTTCTGTCCTGTGATATTTAAAGGATAAGTCCACTTCCAGAATAAAAATTCCTGGTCATTTACTCACCCCATGTCATCCAAGATGTTCACGTCTTTCTTTCTTCAGTCGCAAAGAAATTAAGTATTTTGAGGAAAACATTCCAGGAATTTTCTCCATATAGTGGACTTCAGTGGTGGCCAACGATTTAAACAAAAAAAAACGTATATTTGATTCTGTTACATCGAAGTGAATAAAAATAATATATTGATATTAACGTAAGTATATATACTTATAAGATATATAAGTAATATATATATTAACAAACAATGAACAATACATTTATTACAGTATTTATTAATCTTTCTTAACGTTAGTTAATGAGAATACAGTTCTTCACTGTTAGTTCATGTTAATTCAGAGTGCATTAACTGTTAACAAGCACAACTGTTGATTTTAATAATGCATTAGTAAATGTTGAAGTTAACATTAAGATTAATAAATACTGAAGAGCATTCTTAGTTCATGTTAGCTAAAGTAGTTAACTAATGTTAACTAATGAACCTTATTGTAAAGTGTTACATATATTAATATAAATTCTGTCCAGTTTTATTGTGTTACTTTCAGTGAAAGTGTGGTTATTTTATTGGCTTGTGTTTTTCAGTATCATTAAAATGGAGTTAAATTTAAAAAGGCTCGTGATTGGCTGTTCGCCAGTGATGTCACACATTCATGTGCACATGCTCCACAAACTCAAGATCAAAGCCTGAGTTGACAAAGAAAGTTGATGATCAGCATCATGGTACCAACAAAGCCGGATTGGAGTGGTTTGCTTTTGTCAACTGAAAACTAATCCTGTAACCCTGAGTTTGTTCAGCCACCATCATGGTACAGGCCCCTGCTATAGATGATAATCATTAATTAGTTTACACAACAACGATATATTGAATGTGCGTTCTGAGTTATTTTATTGCCTTTCATTGGTTATTTTTTAAATTCAGTATCATTAAAATTATTGAGTTAAATTTAAAAAGTCTTACAAAATTACTTTATATTATTTAATCAAATAATAAATAATCATTACAAAGCAGTTCGGTTTTCGGCCAAGTGCATCCAGTATTTTCGGTTTCGGACCTTTCCAACATCACCTAATAAATACGCGCATTGTAGAGCTAATGCTAGCCGAACATTTGTGGTTAAAAAGTATATAAATATATATTTTTTCAGAAAATAACTGATCGTTTGGCTAGATAAGACCCTTAATCCTCGGCTGGGATCGCGTAGAGCCCTTTGAAGCTGCATTGAAACTGCATTTTTAACCTTCAATCCGTTGAGCACCACTGAAGTCCACCATATGGAGAAAATTCCTGGAGTGTTTTCCTCAAAAGACTTAATTTCTTTGCGACTGAAGAAAGAAAGACATTAACATCTTGGATGACATGGGGGGTGAGTAAATTACCTGGGAGTGGACTAATCCTTTAAGCCCGCCTCTAATTTGTGTCGTTGTGTGTTTCAGTATAATGCAGGTGTTGGGTGCGTTCCCGTCTCCCAGCGGCCCCGCGTCGCCCTGCAGTCTGCTGAATGAAGACACGCTGATCAAATACTCCCGACTCACTTCCACATCCCACAGCAACTTCAAATACTTCGTTCTGGATAACTCCGTCATTCTGGCCATGCTGGAGCAGCCGCTGGGAAACGAGCAGAGTGAGAGCGACACGCTTCACATCTCATTCCTCCGGTACATTTCAACTCTGATTTCTGATTTCTTATCAATGCGTTTGTGTCAGCAGACCCCTGTCCGTCAGTCACCATGTTAATCAGAGGCATGTCCGGTCGACACGCGTGGACAATGCAGCTCTTCCATCAGCCTCGAGGAGCAAGAGCCAATCAGAAGGTAAGACGCAAGCTCAACCACCAATCAGAACGTAGATGTGCTTTCAGTAGCCAATCAGAAGCAATTAAAATGGCCTGTGAGAGAATGTGGCTTCTCAGATTCAGTATTTGGGAATGATCTGCATCTTGACAATTCAGCTGATTTGCATAAAAGGCCTGTTTCCTAATTTGATAATGCTGAGTTCAAAAATATTATTAAAAACGACTTTTTTTTTTACAAAATAAAAAAGGTTTATCAATAACAAAGCAGTCAGCTGTCAAAAGAGAGTATTTAAAATGCATAATTTTACCTGCAATCTGCAAAGTAGTTGAAAAATCTGTTTAAATACTTAATTTAATGCCAAAAAAAAAAAAACATAAACAGAAGTTTAGAAATAAATAAGCTTTTTCATAAAATCTGTAATTTTCTGTGGCTGTTTGGATGTAAAACACCCACAGATGAAGCGGAAAAGATCAGGCTCGTGTTTGCATTTTCTTCTGTCTCTGGCCGTAATTCTAACCTTGAAATCAGGATTAGGCATCAAATAATGTAATGCATGTGAAAATGTGCTGAGAGTTGAACAAATCATTGTAATCTGGCTCAGATGAAGACAGGAATCATGCATTTGTGGTGTTTTTTTGCTGATTAAGGAGTAATGCTAGACTGCTTCAACTTGCAAATGATTATCAAAAGCAAAAATGCTATGAACATATTCACATATTTTGCGAGAAATTGTGACAGGCTCGAGCAAAACAGACACCCAAAATGAGTAAGAAATGGGTATTGGATTTCATTCAGCACATGTGATGAGCAGTGTTATGATTATACTTGGTCTCTTTATGTCCTACAGCAAGTGTTTGTTCCTGAAAACCGACCGGCTCCCAAGAACGATGTAGGGATTCGGTTTAACGTCAAGCACAGGCCGTTCCCGGAGGAAGTGGATAAGATTCCATTCGTGAAAGCCGACCTGAGCATCCCAGATCTCCATGACATTGTGGATAAGGAGGTAAAAAAGCCTCCGAACACTGTGTTAGCTTTCGTATTACACACTTGACATTGCTATGTGAACGGTATCAAGTTTTCACATCATGATAATTGCTGAAGCTTTTATCACCGTATAGAATTAAGTTAAGAAAAAAATAAGTGCTGCCCTCTTGATAACAATTTAGTAACTTCTTATAGAAGCATTTATATACATTAAAACCATAAAACAGCACACAAAAAAATGTATAAAGTAAACAAAAGTTTCAAACAAATATAAACGATAATAAAGAATCAGAACATTTTCAACCATTACAAAGATACTTTAAATAGAATGCTTTAGTCCAGATTAAAGGGGTGAAATGTATCAAGTAAACATATGTTCCAAACAGATTTAAGTGTAAAGTAACACTAATATATTTAACAATAATAAAGATTCAGAACATTTTCAGTTCAGTCATGTTTTAGTCCAAATTGAAATGTTAAAAATGTTTAAATATAAACCAGGCTTATTATAGTTAAATGAAGCTAAACCTAAAACCAAAACCATAAAAAAAATGTTACTTTAAAATAAAATAAACTTAACCTGAAATAAAATATATGAAAAACTTTTTTTCACTTCAGCATGTTGCCAAGCTTACTTTTCACGTTTTCATTTAGTTTAACTGAAGCTAAAACTGAAATAAAAAATATATTAAAAGCTATATAAAAAACCTAATAAAAATTACAAAAAACACAAATTTTACTAAAATTAAATAAAACAAATAATAAAAAACTGTAATAGTATCTCAATGACACTACAATAACACTGGTATAAACAAATGTTTGAAAATAAATAGCCCATTAAGCCTTTAATAGAAATAGCCTTTAATAAAAATTGCATAATAATATTTATTTATTTATTTAGTCATTTATTAGACGCTTGCTAAAAACAATTCAAAATATTAAAAGAACAAAAGGTATGAGTATAATAATGATTCTAACATAACACTAAACCAAACACCAAAAAAACAACTACATATGTGTATGTACAACCACACACACATATATATACATACACATTTATAAATTTAATATATATATATATTATTTCATTTCCATTTAGTTTGTTGAAGTATTAAAATAACTCAAATTAAATAAAACTAAAAACTTAATAAAAGACCTGGAGTAAAGACAACAACTTACTTACACATAGTAAGAAATGGTTATAAAAACTGAAACAGAAGCGAAACAAGTAATAGGAAAGAAAAATCGATACTTATCCTTTGCCGGTGTCCTGCCCGGTGGAGTCGATGGTCTTTACACTCTTCGGTCGTCACACGTGGAGGCCTTCACGCGACGGCTGCCGCTTACACTGTTTTCTGCTGGCGCTTGAACACACTTTCCTTATTTTCTCCGCAACAAATGGCCAAGCTAGCGCAGACACTGACAAAATATGCGATACTAATACATAATAATGACAGAAATTGACTTTCTCATGTTTGGTGATGTTGATTCAGCATTGATTCAGTATTTTCCTGTTTATTACTGTGAAGCTGCTTTGAAACAGTCAATATTATATAAGCACTATAGAAATCAAGGTGATTCGACTTGACTTAAATATTAGTACTTGGTGCCAAAACATCATAGCATCTGAATGGCTGTTTAAAACATTTTAATACTGTTTGACTGCGTTCCAAAAATCTGTGCAACTCATGATTCACATGAATATGAAACATGTCACTGCTATGTGAGTGTTTATCAGAGAGTCACACTTACAGTCGTCTTGTATTTGTGTTTCAGTTGGAGCAGCAGCACAATAAGCTGCGAGCCGTGATGGGAAAGCAGATCGATTACGAGACGAAACTGGAGCACTGTACGGAGGAGTTATGGAGGAACAAACCCTTCCCAGACCCGCTGACAGACTGTAAACCGCCGGCTCCCGCTCAAGAGTTTCAGACGGCCCGCCTCTTCCTCTCGCACTTCGGCTTCCTGTCACTAGAGGCGCTCAAGGTACGAGAACGGACCGTCACATGTTTGCTTTCAATGTCTCTGTTAGTGAAGGGCCAGTATTTTTGAGGTTTTCAGCATTTCAGCTCTTCCTTTGGATCAGTTCCAGCTGTCAATTCTGATTCCAATGACATACTTTGAAATGAGTTTTTGCTAAATATTGTGTACAATTATGTAAATTAAAAAAATGTATTATAAGAATATTTTTAAACAATATCACACAGCATTTGTGATTTTATTTTTTATAAAACACACATTTCCTATCTTCAGGGAAAAGCATTGCCCTAAATCTAGCCGGTGCTTTGTGTGTGTGTGTGTGTGTGTGTGTGTGTGTGTGTGTGTGTGTGTGTGTGTGTGTGTTCTCTC